CCCCACCCCCTCCTCCGCCTCCACCGCCACTACCTCCTCCCCCGCCACCTCCTCCAGCGCCCTTGCCCCGCTTGCCCTTGCCGTTGCAGTGTCTCTCGCTAGGAGCAGACGCAGCACTGACCGACTCGGTGCCAACAAGGTCGACAGCAGCAGCAGAGGCAACAGAGGGCAAAAGAGGAACGGGGGAGCACCCCTCAAAGAAAGGGGTACGGGGGTCACCACGAGAGGCTCCTACAGCGGTAATACTAGTCTCTGCTGCAAGGAGGCGCTCCTCGAGGAGGTCAACGGTGAGTGTGGTAGGGCAAAGAGAGAGGAAGTGGTCCCTGACCGAGCGAAGGGTGTCAGGGAGCCGGGTGACTAGGTAGTAGAGGGTGATGTACATGGGGGGGGGGGGTTCTTGGCGCAGAACTCAGCAGGAAGCGCAGCGCGGTAGCGGGTGTCACTAGTGCGGAGGTGCGTAATGAGGTCAGCGACTGTGGCAAAAGCGGCGAGGTCAGGGAACAGGTACGGTAGCATGAGGCGGCTAAGAGCAGCAGTGGCAGGGGAAGAGTAGCGTGCAACTACAGCGTCGTACAGAGTCTTAGCACTCTTGTACTGACTAAAGTGCGCGCGCTCCGTAGACGGTAGGTGACTACGCACAGCAAGGCGGGCAGCAGCATCGCGCGTGGTCCACTGCGAGCGAACAGCACTGTCAGCATCAGCAGCAGGGGCAGTAGAGGCGCTAGACGTGAGATCAAACAAGGAGAGACCATCCTTGCTATCGCATTGTAGGAAAAGCTGCAGATCATCTAGCCAGACCTCGAAGTCAACCGCTCGACCCTCAGCATCAAAGGTAAGAACACTGGGACTAGCCATGACAGAAGCAGCAGCAGGCTAGCAGCAGCAGCAGTGTAACTCAGCTAAGCGACGCGGCTAGGCAGGGCGGCGCGGCTCGGCGGCGCGGCTCGGCAGGGCGGCTCGGCAGCGCGGCTCGGCTCAGCGGTGCGCTTACCAGGGGCAGGGCCGGGGCAGGGCCGGGGGAGGACCGGGGCAGGGCTGCGACAGGTCCGGGGCAGGGCCGGGGCCTGGCCGCGAAAGATCCGAGGCCGGGCCGGGGCAGGGCTGCGACAGGTCCGGGGCAGGGCCGGGGCAGAGCCGGGGCAGGGCCGGGGCAGAGCCGGGGCAGGGGAAGGGCAGGGTCGGGGCAGGGCCGGGGCAAGGCCGGAGCAGGGCCGGGACAGGGCCTGGGCGAGGCCGCGACAGGTCCGGGACAGAGCCGCGACAGGGTCAGGGCAGGGTCAGGGCAGGGCCGGGGCAGGTCCGGGACAGGGCCGCGACGGGGCCGGGGCTGGGCCGGGGCAGGGCCGCGACGGGGTTGGGGCAGGGCCGGGGCAGAGCCGGGGCAGGGCCGGGGCCGGGCCGCGACAAGCGACGGGGGAGGGCGGGGCCAGGACGGGGCCGCGACGGGGTCGCAATGGGCGACGGGGCAGGGCCGGGGCAGCGTCGCGATAGGGCCGCGACTGGGCGGCTTCGGGCGACGGGGCAAGGCCGGGGCGGGGTCGCAACGGGGCCTCAAAGGGGGCCGCTAACAGGCCGCAAAGGGGCCGCGTAGGGCAGAAACGGCCACTAAGGGGCCGCAAAGGGGCCGCGTAGGGCAGAGCGCAAAGCGCGCTTCGGGCAGGTAGGTAAAAAAAAATTTGACGGTGGGCCCTTAGGAAGGAACGGTCCCAGTAGGGAACCCGCTCTATACCATGTGAAGAAACAGGAATGGATGACTAGGAAATGAGTTGGGTACAAATATGAAACCCTAGAAAACTGTACCCCATAGTGTCTAACCCACTACAGCCTAGATAGGCTATGTGATTAATGTTTGACAGTGCTGTCTGCATCAAGATGAATGCCTTTCGCCATCAGCTGACTCACACTCAGTAAGTTGTAGCCGAGTCCCTCCGCGATTAAGACCTTTGACATCTGTAGTATTACGTTTGTTTCTCTTGACTGAAGTTGAACAACTCCTTGTCGTCGTGTGCGCAGATTCTGATTGTTGGCGACGGTAATGACGACTTCGCGCTGGAGTTGATGTTCGCGTTGAATGAAGCGAACCGAGGACCACATGTGTTGTCCGCAGTCCAAGAACCAAGTGTCTTTCCCGGACGGCTCGCTCTGGGCGATGGCTGCGTATGTCGGGTTCGGCTCCAGTGTCTCGCGGCGAGGAGTGCTTTCGTCAAGTTGTTCTTCTGGTGAATAGTGTGGTGGTGACTCAGTGATGCAGGAGTCTGACAGTCTTGCCATGCAGCTCACGATGTTTCTTGCTTCTTGTGCAGGTTGTGTCGGTGATGTGGTTGAAGTCTGCGTCTGACCCGTGGGGTGCGCCTGTGTGGATGCTACTTGGCTGCTTGAAGGACGAAGTTGACGTTGCGGCGGTGTTGGCTGCTGTCGATTTGGGCAGTGTGTGCGAGGGTGTCCTGATGTCTTGGAAAGATGACAAAAAGGAGGTACGGGTTTTTGTTGATGCCGGTTGTTGTTGTTGTTGTAGCGCCGTTGAGTGTGGAATGCAAATTCGGGTACTGACGTTTTCTTCTTGTGCTGCTCCTCGTACAGGTCCATGTCTTGTTGCTCAGCTTGTATTTCGGCGCAGAGTGCTGCTTCAAAGATTTTTCCATGAGCTCAGAGTATGGTGCGGGTGGAGCGCTAGTGAGGACCAAGACCGGAGATGACGAGTGTGACGAAGGCTTCTTCAGATATCGATCCTCCGCATCAAAGGAGTTTGTCGCGCAATTCGCGACAGCGGCTGGTATACGCCATTCCCTTTTCGCCCGGTTTCATTTCGACTGTTGTCAGCTGCGTTATTAATCGACTTTGATTGATGCTGTTTGTTGCTTGATACAAGTTCTTCAAGTGGTTGTACGCGAGCTCGGCGGAGTTGCCGCATCCCCGATAAGACCGAATGTTCTGCTGCTGGTTTGGAGTTACGTTCCTCAGCAGGATCGTGTAAGCCATCATTGACTGATACGTGTACTGCTGCTTGTCGTATTGCGTTCCGTGTGTTGGGTATGGCAGGGACCCGTCGAAGAATTCAAGTATCTGCGCGCCTTCCATCATCAGCTCGAATTCAAATGACCAGGTATAGAAATCCTTTCCGTCGAAAGGTGTTGATGTATGAAGTTTTAAGAAGTGCGCGAACTGCGACTGAACCTGGAGTGCAATGTCTTTTCTTGTTCAGGTGAGGGCTGTTGGCGCGGCATGAAGCTGATGGAGCCGCGATGGGGCTCGTACGGAGCAAAGGTGGGTTGCTGTTGGTTTCCGCGCGCATAGGATGAACCGTCGAGGCTCATGGGCGTATCGTCGTTGTAGTTGTTGCTGATGTTTGACTGCGCAGGTGCCGCTTGCTGGTGTTGTTCGTAGAAGGACATGAAGGAGAAGAACTTCTCCATCATACTTGGGTCGAAGCCCGCGGCTTGATTTGCGGGAGTTTCAGTAGACCCAGCTGTTGGTCTTGTTGCCGTGCCCTTTTTTGTCTGTAGGCCAGAGGCAGGAGGTGGAGTAGGAGTAGTACCGGGAGAGCTGTTAGAGGAGCTTCTCTACTTCTGCGTTGCCATGCCTTCTGATGTTGTAGGTGTCTTGGAAGTAGTTGAGTTTGCCCTGATAGCTCTCATACCATCTTGGGCTGAGAAAAGCCCTTAGGATCTTTGCAGGGCTGAACTTTGGGTAGGAATGTTGTAGTTGCGGAAGCGTTTAATAAGAAGTATTGAACCACCTTGTGCTGGTGTGTGAGGGCAAAGTAGATTGATTAAAACAAGAAGGTACAAGGTTTTGTAAGAGTACAAGGAATATGAAAAGATGCAGCTAATAACTGTTTTACTGTTGCTGTTGCGGTTCGATACAGTGACGACTCGGGCAACTGCTCAGTATCGAGTCAGTTGGTTGTCCTTGTTGTCGCGCTGTATTTGTCAAGTCAAAGGTCGCTGACCTGACCTTTGACATTCGCGTAAACTCCAGTGGTTACTTTACTTGTCAACCTCCGATAGTTGACTCGCCGATGCTTCACTTGTGCTTCGCTTCGTTTACGACTTAGTGTTTCGACACAACAGAAGCGCTTAAATCACTTGTTTCCAACAAAATCATGATCCACCATGATTCAAGACTCATTCATGTACCCTTGTTTATGGAGCCAACAGCCAACAGACAGGACTACCTTAGGACCAGGGGACTTCCAATTGCAACTGTTTCAGTATCCTCTAAAATGCATACATTACAAGCAGGAATACCATATGTGATTCTCAAAATGCTTTCTGCATTTTATATCAGTTATCTTAATTGACCCAGATTTTGAGTAATTCAAATTTAGGTACATACCACTTTGATTCTGGCCATAGACGCGTATAGATGCTCATATGCAGAGTCGAATCGCACACCCACATCGTAGCTTCTCGAATGTACGACACCAACCCAAACCGTCGGTCTCAGCCAATCGTATCGCAGCTCTTACCTTTTGACCTGACTATTCCACGCGAAACTAGAATTTCGTGGTTATTTGTTCCCAAGCCTCAGCAATCTTTGCCCCAATCCCTTATCCCTCCCCCAACATCAGCCTCTTGTTCGCCACGGCCCCAACTCCACTTCCAAAAGCTGCGAAGGTCTCTGCGACTCGGCTAAAAAGAGAAATAAAAGTAGGCCAGTTATTTCCTAAGCGACAGATTTTCAGAAAGCTTAGTTTTCATGTCACAAATTTATTGGTGGCCTAATTTCTGCGCGGGAAGCGCACTCTCTATTGCTATTGCGGAGTACAACGACCGTTTGGGTAACAATCGATTTCAGCAGGAACAGGCATACGACGCAGTCTTTATTCCGATTCCATAGTTTGCTTACCTTGCATACCTCTTTCAAGTGCACAGCGGAACCACAAGAACCCAATCATCTAGATCGTCTCTTCTCGCCACCAGCCAGCAGTAAAAAAGCGTTCTGAACAGGAAAGGTCATTGCTCCGCAAGTTCCGAAAGGAAAAGCACGCATTCGTCGTGATGGCGACGTCAGCGGTGGGGTTCAAGCCTCGCGAGGACCACAAGAAGGCCAAAGAGCTGGAGGAGGCGCGCAAGGCGGGGCTGGTGCCGGCGGAGGTGGATGAGAACGGCAAGGAGATCAACCCGCACATCCCGCAGTACATGTCGTCCGCGCCGTGGTACCTCAACGCCGACCGACCCGTGAGTGGTTGCAGCAAAGAGTAAAGAGGCTCTGCTTTTTTCGTTCTCGGTGACGTGTCCCTCAAGCGTTGATGTTGCTGTCCCGCGTGGGCTCTCAAGGCGGATAGCACAGTGATTGGTACTACGGTGAACACTAAACTACTTCTGAAGGTGCGTTTGGTATAGCCAGCAGCAGCAAGGCAAGCATGAAACGATTAGTTCCAGCATCATAATTGGAAAATTGCTCGTTGACTTTCAGCTGGTTGTGTATGTGTGTCTCAGTGTGCGTTTCATTCTTCCACGTGCGTGCTTGTGCAGAGCTTGAAGCACCAGCGCAACTGGAAGGCGGAGGGCGGAGGGCAGAGCAAGAACTGGTACGACCGCGGAGCCAAGGTGTTCCAAGCCACCAAGTACCGCAAAGGCGCGTGCACCAAGTGAGTTCTCCCATTGCTGTGCTGACCAGAGTGTCTCGAGTGCTGACCAGAGTGTCTCGAGTGCTGACCAGAGTGTCTCGAGTGCTGACCAGAGTGTCTCGAGTGCTGAGAAGGTTTCCTACCTTCCGCTCTCGTCCCCAGCAAAAGTGTTGTCTCACTATAGAAGCCAGGAACCAGCATCCAGGAATGTTTAGCTCATGCCATGTGCTTTACGATAACGCTCATGACATGTGCATGACTCATAGCTCATGCCATGTGCCTCATGACTCATAGCTGATGCCATGTGCCTCATGACTCATAGCTCATGACATGTGCATGACTCATAGCTCATGCCATGTGCCTCATGACTCATAGCTCATGCCATGTGCCTCATGACTCATAACTCATGCCATGTGCCTCATGACTCATAGCTCATGCCATGTGCCTCATGACTCATAGCTCATGCCATGTGCCTCATGACTCATAGCTCATGCCATGTGCCTCATGACTCATAACTCATGACAAGTGCCTCATGACTCATAGAGTGACCGTGTGGTGGCGCACGCCGCTCGTGCTTCCATCACCACCCCCCTCCTTCCATCACCGTCCCCTCGCCCCCCTCCTTTCCTCCAACCTGCCCTCGTTCATCCCCGTTAACCCCGTTTCCCTGCGGAGCAATGACCCAGCACCACAACCCTCACCTATCCTTCCACACACACACGCCTTTCCCCAACCCCCCACCTCCTGTTCTCCCTGGCACTCATTCAGACCCAGGGCCTCGCAACCACTTGTCCTCGCCTCACCTTCCTTCCCTCCCTCTATCCCGTCATGCTCGCAGCTGCACAGCCATGCCATATGACCGGAGCGCAGAGCGCGTATCGTGCGCTGCGCCTGCGTGCCAGGCAGGCACCTCAGAACATGGTTCTTCTCTGCCAAACCCTCTCGTGGCCCTTGCTTTCGCTCCCCTAATGCGTTCACAGAGCCATGACGCACAACTGCGAGCCATGAACGCTGCAACCAGAAAGGGGGAGGGAAGAAGCTGACCCATCGTATCTCTTCGCCATGAGGGCGACACGGGTTTGACCCGAGCACGTAACATGTCACCGACGCAGATTAACGGCCTTTATCCATCTCCCATCTTGCCCCCTGTCACTCACACAGTTGCGGCGCCATGACGCACGACCACAAACCCTGCACGAAACGCGCGCGGAAGCTGGGAGCGAAGGTCACATCGCAGTTTAACGCATGACAAGGCCCTGATATGCAGTTCAACAGTCGCAGTCACACAGCAAAAGTGGAGTGGTTCGAGCTGGCCCGGGATAAAGCTCTCTTCTGCTCAACCCCCTCACGACTCCCCTTTCTCCTCCCATCCTATTCCTCCCCTCATGCTGTCCCATCCCTTTCCTCGCGCATGCAGTTGCGGCGCCATGACGCACGACCACAAGTCGTGCACGGAGCGGCCGCGCAAGCTGGGCGCCAAGTTCACATCTCAATTCATAGCGGTGGACGAGAAGGTGGAGTCGTTCCACCTCGACTTCGACGGCAAGCGCGACCGCTGGAACGGCTTTGACCCCTCCACGTACGCGCGCGTCGTCGCCGCGCATGGCGTGCGCGAAGAGGCGCGGCGGAGGTTCCGCAAGGAGCAGCAGCTGCGGAGGCTGAGCAGCGCGGGGGGAGCGGCGGGGGGAGCAGGGGAAGCGGGGGATTGGGGGGAGGGGGGAGAGGGAGAAGGGAAGGGAGGGGGGGAGGAGGAGAGGGATGAGGCGAGGGTGGACGAGAGTGAGCAGCGGGATTTCGCGAAGGTGGAGAAGCGCGTGAGAACGACGGGAGGCGGCAGCACCGGGACGGTTCGCAACCTGCGGATCCGCGAAGATACGGCGAAATACCTCCTTAATCTGGATGTCAATTCCGCTTACTACGACCCTAAGACGAGGTCGATGCGCGAGGACCCGAACCCTGGAGGCGACGCGGACGAGAAGTTTTATAAAGGGGATAATTTCAATAGGATCAGCGGGCAGGCGGTGGAGTTTCGCCAGCTCGCGCTGCACGCGGCTCGCGCGAATGAAGCGGCGCGCGACGCGCGTGGGGAGGTGCACGTGCAAGGCGCGCCGAGCCAGGCGGAGCTGCTGCACCGCGAATTCAAGGCGCGCAAGGAGCGGCTGCTGGCTGCGAAGCGCGAGGCGATGCGGGAGAAATACGGCAACGCGGCGGCGGATCCCGAGGCGGACGGCGTGACGGGCGCGCTGCTGCTGGGGCAGACGGAAACGGCCGTGGAGTACGATCACAGCGGGCGAGCGGTGAAGGGGCAGGAGAAGCTGGTGGTGGCGCGAAGCAGGTACGTGCAGTGGAGGCAGGTGCGCTCAATGGCCCTGTTCGGGAGCCCCTCAACCAGAGGATGAGGATGCTGCTCTGTACCGAGCCTCTGTAGAAAAACGACAACACACCACTTACTCCTCTTCCTCTTGTTCTCCCGAACAAGGCCAATGGTAATGCGACAATGGACTGGAGGGCGTGCAGGGAGGGAAGGAATGGCGTTATGAAGGGACAGCCTAGTATATCTCAACGGAATATCTCAGCGGAAATGGGTCGTCAAGCCTGACGACCCTCTGACGACTTGACGACATGCTGCCCCGGGCAGAAAAAAAACAAAAACCCTATCGGATGGCATGCCATCCTAGGGAGGCATCAACCCTAAATCCATGCCTCCCTGACCGGATGCATGCCCTTCTGGGGTTTATTTTTTTTGCCCGCGGGCAGCGAGCTCCCCTGGGCGGACTCGCTTGTCCGCTGAGATATATTCGGCGGAATGTAGCAGGCGCGCTAACGACAAAGACGAAACCACAAAACGACAAGCTGCCCAAGGCAAAAAAAATAAACCCCAGATGGATGGCATGCCATTCGGGAGCCTCAACCCAAAAATTTTAGGGTTTAGGCTCCCGAATGGTGCATGCCATCCCGATAGGGTTTTAGTTTTTTCTGCCCGGGTCAGGGTGACGCTCGCGAAAGCGTCACCCCCGAGCGTCATCCCTGGCAAAACGGAGCGTCACCCCCGATTCCGTTGAGAGATACAGGAGAAGCAGGTGAGTGTGGTGGTGGCCAGCGAGGTACGTGCAATAATAACCAGCACGTGAGGATGACGATACAAGAAAATTCTCAAAAGCAGTTCAATGAGAAGCCTATGGGTGGAATCAGGTCAATCAGAAGGTATGGTGCGCGAGAATGAGCAAATATGCGGGGTGCATACAATGAAGGAATAATGGGGGGAATGTTTTTCACAAAATCTACCAATCCAGTTACCCTCTCATTTCAATTTGTATTGATATTTTTGCCATTTCTCTTCACAATAATTGTATATTTTTCATTACCACCAGGTACGAGGAGGATGTGTATGTCAACAACCACACGTCTGTGTGGGGATCGTTCTGGAAGGATGGGCAGTGGGGCTACGCCTCCTGCCATCAGATGCTGCGCCTGAGCTATTGCACAGGCTCGGCAGGCATCCAAGCTGCAGAGGCTGCTGCGGAGGCCACCAAAGCTGCTGCTTTGGCAGGCGCTCTGCATGATGGTAGGAGGGGGGTCGAGGGTGGAAAAGAAGGCGGTGAGGGTGGGCGTGATGGAAGCAGTGGAAAAGCAGCAGCTGCAGGGGCCGGGGTGGCTTTGCCGTGGGGAAGTGCGGAAGGGGAGAACGTGGATCCATCGACACTGGACCCGGAGAAGCTGAAGCAGGCGGCTAAGAAGGTGTGTGCTTCTGTTGACATGCGCACGGTCCATAGTGGGTTCAATGCAGTTATCGACGTTCTTTGTCAAGGAACGCCTATGATCCACATGGCTTTGTTGTCAATCTATGCAGCTCTATTTGTTCATGCTTGCCATGCTTATTTGGCATCATACCCTCTCCTGTATGTGTTTCGCCCATGCCACTTGGTAACATGTGCTCAAGGGCCCTTCAGATCCCTCCATCATTCCGTCTACCACAAATGAAAGTAACTCATTTGCAATGTCTTATTTTTTCCTAAATAACCACCTGCTTCTCCCTCTTCCCTGCTTCAATTCATTGGACCAAGTTACAAAAGTAGGAATGTATACATACACACATAATCATCATAACTCTCATAGTGCTGCCCGTACTGCTCTTATTACTCCCACCCCCTTTCCCTATGCATGACAGATGGAGTTGGGTGCGATGGAGGAGAAGGATGAGAGGAAGAGAAAGTACAATGTGTGGCATGATGACGAGGTATGTGTTTTCCTGATGTGGGGCATGAAGATGACGAATGTGCCATCATGATGATGAATGTTGCATGAAGATGCTGAATCTGTTATGGCGATGACTTGTGCATACGATCATGTGTTAGCCTGCAGGAGGACAGGATGTATTGCATTAGGTGTTCGGCATGATGATACACTGAGTGGAATGTTGACGATGATGAGTGGTTCGCCGCTGGCCTAGTGTTATACATGTCTTGCTACTCATTTGATTTTTTTTTTTTTTTTTTTTTCTTCATGGCAGGTCACAGCTGAGGATATGGAGGTGTATCGGCTTAAGAGAGTGCACAATGATGATCCTATGCAAGATTATGCTGACAAGGAGTGATGCGTCTACCTACCTAGGCCCTGTATTTTAAATATTGGTGAAATGATGTGCTACTACAAAGCATGTTTGAATGGGGTGGCTGTGATACCTACGGAAGTCCAATGAATATTAACACGGAGAAAACTATGAAGAATACTACAAGCAATCTCAGCAAAGGGATGGCACTGTCAGAGAATTGGTAATGGGTGATGGGGATTGCATCAACAAATGTTTGGTGGAAAGGAAACACATGCATGGACATGTGCACAAAAAATCAATGATATTTATTTCTCTCCCTTCACTAGGTCTGAGGAATGGGGAGTAGCAATAAGGTATGAGGCATGAGGTGTGAGGGCACGAGATGTGAAGCATGAAGTGTGAGGCAGGAGCAGGGCTGATTTTATCAGACTATTTTAGTCTGATTGTCTGAAATCTCAGACTCTTTTTTTCGCCTTTCCTGAAATTTCAGTATTCCTGTATTCTGAACTCTGAAGGCCTCAGACCTGTTAGTTTTTCAACTCTGAAAATTTCAGAGTACTTCATTGTGCGATACTGAGACTCGAGACTACAGGGAGTATGGCCCCTTAAATTGCCGAATTTCAGTCCTCCCCCCTCCCCCTCTCTCGAATTACATTCAATTCCCCCCTTGCCCCCCTCCCCCATCCCCCTTCCCCCGCCCCCTCTTACTCCTGCTTCTCGCCAACTCCGCAACGTTTTCCCTAGGCCAAACTCGCTTGACAGATATTCGCTATTCACCAACTCGGATGCGGTTTTACAAACTTAAAACTTTTCAGACTAATGATTTTTTCAAACCTGACATTTCAGAGTACTCAGAACTTGGGAAATGACCCTCAGACTAAACGAAATCTTTTTCTCCCCTGCCTCAGAGTGGGTTTTTTTGAAACGTCAGCCCTGGGCAGGAGTGAGTAATGTGTTGGGTACAAATATCGTTTTTGCATGTCAACCAGCCGCCTACATAACATCATGCATATTGTGTGCGTTTTTGTGCGCATTCAATTCCGTTGGGAGTTCATGACGCGTTAAGACGGATCATGGGAAATCATGAATGTTCATGTACTTGCATGATTTCAATATGAATGAACATGAGTTTTCGTGAAAGTTGCAAGCTCAATGAATGCTCATGAATTTCTATGTGTCCCCATGTGAGGCTTGAGTGTTCATGAATGTCAAGTGGGGAGGGGTTCGATATTTTTGTTTTGGGCCCTTTTGTCAGAATCTAACCAGAAGGAATGAATCCATTGAACAGAAATGTCGTACAAGTACTAACCCTAATTGGCTTGTACCCCATATAGGCTACCCGACTACAGTCAACACAACACAGAACATAATAGTTTGACACACCCCCATAGGCAAACTGGGGGAGAACAAGGGGTCACAAGACCAGTCAAGAAAAGCAAAGCAAGCTCAGGGTGGATCACGAAGTCACCACCCACTCTGAGCACAAGCAAATGGCCACAAGGACAGTTCACATGCAGAGTTATATAAATGGGAACAAGAAGTACAGTGATCACAATCTAGCAAGTGTAAGCATGCAGGTACAAGTATATAGATCACAGTACAAGCAAGGTCACGAAGTGAGCAAGTGAGGCAAAGTAGGCACAAGGCCTAAAACATTACAAAAACGCTGATGATCACTAGGCTGAAGTGCCTTGGTGAATATATCAACAGTGTTGGCCCGAGTGGCCACGTAAGCAAGACGAAGCTGACCACGCTGCTGCAGCTCTCAAGCAAGGAAGTAACGGAGAGCGATGTGCTTCGTCCTGTGCTCCAGTCTGTGCTCCTGACACAAGGCAATCATGGCCTTGTTGTCTATGTACAGAACTGGAGGAGAACTAGGCCGCTCTCCCAAGTCGGTCAGCAGGTAGGTGAGCCAGCGTAACTCCTGTGCAGCCATGGCCCCAGCGTAGATCTCAGCCTCACAACCAGAATTGAGAAGAGAAGACGAACGGGTAGACCGCCAAGAAACAGAACCGGAGCCAAGGCTGAAAGTGTAACCCTGTGACGACCGCTGCGTAGCCAAGTCGTCAACCTAAGATGCGTCTGCGTGGCCAGTAAGAACAACTCGACTCCGTCCTCCAAGCACGAGCCCCATGCCCGAAGTACTGCACAAGTAGCGCAACACCCTCTTAGCGGCCTCCTAGTGCTCTGGTCGGGGTCTTCCGAGCGCAACGTAGCGTGCCACGATGTGGAGAGGGTAAGCAAGGTCAGGTCCAGTGCAGGTCATCAGGTACATGAGGCAGCCCACAAGCTCTGTATATTGGCCACTCCGCTCTACGGATTCGTCCGAAGGTGGAGCTGAGAGCGAGTGACCGATAGCGAGAGGAGTGGACTGTGGCGAGGACCAAGTGAAGCCGAAGTGCTGAAGGACCTCCTGCACCAAGTGTGACTGAGTCAAGGTGATGGTGCGCCGTGCTCTATCCCGGGTGATCTGCAAGCAAAGATAGTTGCGCAGCTCACCCAGGTCTGTGCACGTGTATTTCTTCTACAGCTCCGACTTCATTAGAGTCAGTGGCTCTGTATCAGCAGTGGCAAAAACCGAGTCGTCGACGTACACGAGGATGTAGAACGGCGGCATCGAAGTGTCGGTGCGCAGAAACAACGACGGGTCAGCAGTAGAAGGAGCAAACCCAAGAGCCTCAAGTGTCGTCCTCAGTGTGTCGTGCCACTCACGAGGTGCCTGGCGAAGATCGTAGACTGGCCGCCGGAGGCTCCACTGGGTACCTGCAGGAAACGACCCAGTAAAGCCAGATGGGCAGCGTAGCCAGATCTCCTCGTGCAGGCTGCCCTGTAAGAAAGCTGTGCTGAAGTCAAGAGAGTGAAGATCGTAGTCACGCTGAGCGGCAACGTGCAGCAGCACCCGAAGAGTGGTCATCTTTGGGGTAGGGAAGAAGGTCTGGAAGAAGTCAACTCCATGTTGCTGACTAAAGCCTCTAGCAACGTAACGAGCCTTGAAGACAGGCGGAGAACCAGGCGGCCGCTTCACCCTAAAATTCCACATGCCATCGACTATGTTCGCCCCAGGAGGGGGAACTACGTCGACGTATGTGCCTTTGGACTTCCAGGATGCCATCTCTGCGTCCATGGCTGTCTTCCACTGAGAGGAGTAGGGACCCGTAATCGCCTCTGTGTAAGAGTGCGGGGTCGGGATGTCTGGAGCATCCGGGTCTCCCTCAGGTGCAAGCAGCATGGACATGAGATGAGGTACAACAGCCGCAAGACACTCAAAGTCCTCCTGCCTTTCCTCAAGGTCGTCCATGATAAGAGCACACTCACCCCTGACGGACGGAGGACAGACAGACTCAGACTCAGCAACAAGACTAGAGGCGTAGTCGAGACGACAGCTAGCAGGCAAGTCGACAAGATCAGAAGCTAGGGGAGACGCAGCAGTGGACTCAAACGAAGGGTCGGTAGCAACAGTGGCTAGAAGACGTGTGATAGTAGGACTGGCTGCACGAAATATGTCAAATTGAGGGTCCGGACCGTCTGGAAGAGAGGACGCAAGAGGAGACGACAGGGGAACTCACAGTGGAACAAAGGAAGGACGAAGTGCCATAGTGTGAGTGCCTGGGACAGGAGGGTGGCGCGGACGCGGAGCACGACGACCAGTGCGACCAGCACAAACAGGCGAGGCAAGGCGAGACGCAGGCTCACGACGCTTTGTAAGAGGGCCTGACTGCTCAGTGTAGGGAGAAGGAGCAGGCATTGGGGCGGCTGGCTGTAACAGTGGCTGCGACTGGTCAGGCGGTGGACACAGAATGGGAGGAGTAAGGTCAGTAGAAGACGGAAAACTAAGATCCTGGCGAAGCACCGAGTTAGGCGGTGGCAGAGGCAACGGTGACGGCGGAGCGAAGAACAGTCGCGGCTGTGCAGTGCCTCCAGAACCAGCACCGACAGCTTTAGCACCCCCAGCTCCAGGGTCTCCAGCTCCAGGGTCTCCAGCTCCAGCGCCTCCAGCACCACCAGCTCCAGCATCTCCAGTACCTCCAGCACGTCCAGCACCAGCAGCACCACGAGCTCTAGCAGCTCCAGTACCTCCAGGACCAGCAGCTCCAGCACCTCCAGCAGCAGCAGCACCACTAGCTCTGGCAGCTCCAGTACCTCCAGCACGAGCACCTCTAGGACTATCAGCTCCAGCACCTCCAGTACCTCTAGCACCTCCAACACCAGCAGCACCACCAGCTCCAGCATCTCCAGTACCTCCAGCACCTCCAGCACCAGCAGCACCACCAGCTCCAGCAGCTCGAGTACCTCCAGCACAAGCACCTCCAGGACCAACAGCTCCAGCACCTCCAGCACCAGCAGCACCACCAGCTCCGGCAACTCCAGAAACTCCAGCACGAGCACCTCTAGGACCAGCAGCTCCAGCACCTCCAGTACCTCCAGCACCTCTAGCACCAGTAGCACCACCAGCTCCGGCAGCTCCAGCGCCTCCAGCACGAGCATCTCCAGGACTAGCAGCTCCAGCACCTGCAGTACCTCCAGCTCCAGCAGCACAAGTGCCTCCAACGCCAGCGCCTTTAGCTGCAGGGCCTCCAGCTCCAGCAGCGCGACTCCAAAGGTGGGTGCGCCAAGCGTACCACTCTCGCATCTGCTGTAGGGAGAGAGGCTCCTGCCGGCTAGACTGCTTGGGCGAGGCACCAGTAGGACCTCCAAGACTAGTAGCTCCAACACCCTCAGTACCTCCAGTACCAGCAGTGCCTTCAGCACCTCCAGGACTAGCAGCTCCAGGGCCTCTTGCTCCAGCAGCGTCACTCCAAAGGTGGGTGCGCCGAGTGTACCACTTGCGCAGCTGCTTTGGTGAGAGAGGCTCCTGTAGTGTAGACCCAGTACCCCTAGGCTCAGCACTCCAAGACTCTGCACCCCAAGCTCCGCACCCGCAGGCTCAGTACCCCCAAGCCTAGCACGCTCATACGCAGCACCCCCAGGCTCCGCACCCACACGCTCAGCACCCCCAGGCTCCGCACGCTCAGGCTCAGCACCCCTGGGCTCCGCACTAGCAGGCTCAGTACCCCCATGCTCCGCACGCTCAGGCTCTGCAACCGCAGGCTCAGCACCCCCAGACGCAGCACCCCGAGCAACACCAGAGTCACCAATGACCAAGAAATGCTCAACCATGGGGATTGGGTCTACTTGAGCCACACCTGAAGGAGCAGGACCCTGAGTGGGGAGGGGGTCTACCGGAGGGGGACCTGGAGCGAGGAAGAGCGGCGGGGGTGGGGAGAGGGGCAGTGCGGTTGGGGAAGAGACGGTAAAAGAGAACCGACTCGTCAAACGTGACGTCCTGAGAGGACAGAACGCGGCGCGAGGTGGGGTGGTAAAACTGCAGCGTCAGGGTGGAAGCCAAGGGAGACACAGGGAATGGGGCGGGAGGAGAGCTTGTCCCCGGAAGTATCGCGGACAAAGGCACGAGCGCCCCAGACCCGGAACACCGACGTATCGCCAATCTCCCCGTGTTCTGCTAGAGGCTGAGCTGATGCGCAGCGTACCCGACCGCAAACGACCACAGAAAATGGGGAGTAGCTGCATTGATCATGGAGGTACGAGCGACCTCCTTGACTAAGCCAATGCGACGCTCAGGAACCCCATTTTGCTGCGGAGAGGCCGGAAGCGTGAACGAGTGGAGGATGCCCTCCCCACGACAAAAGTCCAGCAAGAGGTCGGAGGAGAACTCACCACTCTGTCAGAGTGCAGACGCAGGAAAGGAAGGTCCTGGCGGAACCGCTCGCGGAGCTGGAGACGGACAGCGCGGATCCAAGGGATCACGACATCAGGGACCTCCCCCTTGCTGCGCAAGGTCCCTTGCTGCGCAAGGTGAAGACCGTGGTGTAACACGGGTAGTCGTCAATAACTAGCAGAAAGTATCGCTCGCGGCCCTGTCCCTGGACGCGGGCTGGGCCCCACACGTCCATGTGGAGAGTCTGCAGGGGAGCAGTCGTCGGGGGAAACGAGGAGGAGTGAGGAGCGGCGCGCTGCTGCCCCTCGACACAGGGAAGGTAGGGAGAGGCAGGCGAGGGTGGGAGGGGAGGCAGAGACCTGGGAAGACCAGAGACATGGAGGCGGGAGTGCATGCCACAGAGGCGTGGCAGGGAGGGGTGACCAACGCGGTGGTGCTAAAGGAGAGTCTGGTGCGACAGGAGGCAACATGAACATGGGGCTGCTAGCTGACCTAACGCGGACGCAGCTAACTAAGGAGGCGTAGTAGTCAGTGTGTACAGGTTCGACCCAGGCCGACGGGTGAACGTGGCCAGGTGATGGCCCGTCCGTGCACACATGCAGATCGCCACACGCCGTCCTCCAGGGGTAAAGGTATCAACCAAAGCATCCTAAAGGACGGCGTTACTCACCAAGTTCGAAGTGAACGAGGGGGGGTGAAGACCTGAAAATGAGTCAGACGGAACTGCCGGACACGGGAGAACAGTGGAGGAACGTGCAAGAACCGGGCCCCCAGAGGGGTTAGCCAGAGAGACTGCAACCGGTGCTGCGAGTGGTGTGACTGTGGTGCTGTCGCGAAAGAAGCAGCGGGAAGCACCTGAGTCAAGCGTGAAGGTGTGCAAGACCTCAGCAGGCGCAGTACCAGAGAGAGCTGACTCACTAGCACCTAGAGCAGTTGCCTCTATACCAGGGTCGGGCGGCACACACAAGTAACAGTCACCCTCAGTACCAATAGTCAAAGCATACATGGCAGTAAGGATAGCGTCATAGTGTAGAGAAAAGATCCCCACACCCTACCTAAGCATCTCTAGCCAACGGGGGAGCTCAGTCGCATCGCCAAACTCTGCGCACCAGGCGTAGTTAAGACAGGAGAAGCAGCGGGACTGTGTGTGACCAACTGTCCCGCAAGTCTGACCAGCCCGATCATCTGTGCGAGCACTACTCCGAGACGTCCCACGCTGAACGTACCACTCATGAAGCTGCTGGGGCGTAAGGGTCTCGCGTGGACACCGCTGAAGCTGCATCAAGCCACCGCCAGAAACTCTCCACTGAACAGCTCCACAGCGACTGCCACTACTACCGCCCTCACCACTCCTACTAGCGTACCACTCACGATGCTGCTGGGGCGTAAGGGTCGCGCACGGACGCCGCTGCAGCTGCATCTGGCCACCACCAGAAACTCCCCACCGAAGAGCTCCACCGCGACTGCTACTATGGCCGCCACCTCTCCCAATGCTGCCACCACCACCGCCTCCACCCCCACCGCTACCACGAAGAGAAGTCATAGCGGGCAAATCAAGGAGGCGTGGGACCAGCAGGGCGGCACGTAGGGAAGGCAGGGCGGCGAGCAGGCACTAGGGTAGGTCGGGGCGGCGCACGGTCAGGGAAGTGCGGCGCACGGTCAGGGAAGGGCGGCGCGCGGCCAGTGCAGGGCGGGGCGGCGCGCGGGCAGGGGAGGGCGCGCGGGCAGGCAAGGGCAGCGCTCGGGCTGCAAAGGGCAGTGCGCGGGCTGCCAGGGCGGAGTGCGGGCTGCAGAAGGCGGCACACGGGCTGCAGAAGGCGCCGCGCGGGCAGGCAGGGGCGGTGCGCGGGCAGGCAGAGGCAGCGCGGGCTGCAGACGGGCGGCGTGCGGGCTGCAGACGGGCGGCGCGTGGGCTGCAGACGGGCGGCGCGCGGGCTGCAGACGGGTGGCGCGTGGGCTGAAGACGGGCGGCGCGCGGGCTGCAGACAGGCGGCGCACGGGCTGCAGACAGGCGGCGTGCGGGCTGCAGATGGGCAGCGCGCGGGCTGCAGACGGGCAGCGCGCGGGTAGCGTGCGCGGGGAGGCGCGACGTGGGGCAGGGCAGGGCGCACGCAGGGCAGCGCGACGCGGGGCAGGGCAGGGCACGCGCGGGGCGGCGCGGCGCGGGTCAGGGCAGGGTGTGCGCGGGGCAGCGCGACGTGGGGCAGGGCAGAGTGTGCGCGGGCGGCGCAGCGCAGGGCAAGGCGTGAACGGTCAGCGTGACGCAAGGCAGGGCAGGGCAGGGCGTGCGCGGACAGGGCAGCGCAGGGCAGGGCGTAGGGTAGCGCGGTAACCGTAGTCGGTCACTAGCTAATGGTGGGCCCGAAAAAAACAGTCCTACGGACCTACTGCTCTGAAACCATGCTAGAACCCAATGAGCAGGAATGAATGTAGAAAAACAAAAATGTGTTACAAGTACTAACCCCAATTGGGTTGTACCCTATATAAGCTACCCCAATACAGCCTACACAACATAGAACATGAAAGTTTGACACCTTTGACTTGTTAGTGCGTTATGGTCGCCCTGTAAGCAAGATGAAGCTGACCACGCTGCTGCAACTCTCGAGCAAGGAAGTAACGCAGAGCGATGTGCTTCGTTCTGTGCTCCGGTTTGTGCTCCTAACACAAGGCAATCATGGCCTTGTTGTCTACGTACAGAACTGGAGGAGAACTAGGCCGCTCTCCCAAGTCGGTCAGCAGGTAGGTGAGCCATCGTAACTCCTGTGCAGGTGTTCGACCCTTGCGCGAAAGGGAGCGACGTACGTCGATTTGTAGCTATACTAGAAGAAAATCTTCAAAGCCGTTGGATGCACGACCCTCAACCAAGACGCAATGCGCATACGGCTCGCAGCAACACTGTTACGTGGCCCAGCTCTAGAGTGGATCAGCAACAAATTTGTCCAAGGCATAGGGACGTGGACGCAATTTCGTACAACACTGATCGAACAGTTCGACACGTTGAACAGTAGCTACCACGGAACACGACGCAACAAGCCAAATAGTGGCATGGGGCGATTGGCACCACCCACGGCTGCCGACCCGATGGAGAACGATAAGGGCGATGTGGAGCAGCGGCTAGCAAAAAATAAGACGTGCGAATTTTGCGGCGCTACAGGACATTGTATCTTGGCGTATTGGAAAATGAAGAGCTGAGGGACAAGAACAGTGCGGCACTCCCGAAGCAGAAAACGGACAACGTGACATCTTCGGAGAGGGCGAAAAAAGGAGAATATGATGGCGCGAATTTAAAACGTCACGACTGGCCGGCACCAGGGGAAACCGCCGAGACAAATGGAGACTCCGCGAAACAAGACTTGGAAAACTCCAGCCGTACACCCCGACAAGTAAGAATATTACTTCTCGTGGGTTTCAAGCCTTTATTAAGGGAGAGTCAGAAATTAAACTGGTACCGGGTAATATGGGGACCCTACTCCGGAGCGCTAATAAGAGTCGAGCGTTCTGAGGAGCTAATATTATCTCCCAGCAGCTCTTTAAAAAGGCTCTCTGTTCCCCACAGATGAAGCCTACACAGTTGCAAAGGCTTTAGAGAAAGGTTTCAGGTTTTTGAGAAGCTGAATCGGCCTCGGATAAACCCTTCTAACTCTTCTCAGTTGAAAAATGATATTGGAGCTGCATCTTCGAGCGCAGGACCTAGGGATGACATATTCAACGTACCCTACGATCCTATAAGCGATGCCATCTACGGCTACTCGGAGCAGCAGCAACCACT